CACTGTGTATCCAGAGCTCACTCCAGGTGATGGAATTTGGGGGTGAGTGATGGAATTTGGGGCTGTTTTCCCATGGATTTGTGTGTCTGGAGGAGGCAGAGCAGGGCTGGAGTTCAGAGGGTCACTCAGGGCTGGCACAGCAGCCCCTGACAGGGTTTGGGCACTGTGTACCCAGAGCTCACTCCAGGTGATGGAATTTGGAGGTGGGTGATGGAATCTGGGGCTGTTTTCCCATGGATTTGTGTGTCTGGAGGAGACAAAGCAGGGCAGGAGCTCAGAGGGTCACTCAGGGTGGCACAGCAGCCCCAGGACAGGGTTTGGGCACTGCTGGAGGTCAGCACTGTGTACCCAGAGCTCACCTCAGGTGATGGAATTTGGGGGTGGCTGGTGGAATTTGGGGGTGGGTGATGGAATTTGGTGGGTGGGTGATGGAATTTGGGGGTGGGTGATGGAATTTGGTGGTGGGTGATGTCTGAGTTTGGACAAACCAAGGCCAAGTGCTGCCTGCAGCCCAAGGAAATCCAGTCCCAAACACTCCATCCTTTCACACCTTTGTGTCCAAGAGAGGGACAGCATTTCCTGAGAACAAGGAATGGCAAATCCTGTCACTGGTGAAAGGAATGAGAAGGCAGTGTCTTTACAAACAGATTCTGACTCTRGGGTGAGACAAGGTTGATATTGGGAGATAGAAAGAAACMATAGGAAGGATTTGCATAGGAATTTTACTGATTGGTTTACTTTAGTTTATGTTAATAGATTACTTGAGCAGAGACACAGAGATGGATATTGAAAGGGGGCAATGTATGATAGACGGGCGGTTTCATCAGGCGTTTCGGGGAGTCTGTAATTTTTAAGTATTTCAGCTAATGCGGAAAGAGAGAAAGAACTGCAGCCAGGAAATTGGGATAAAAGGAGGCTGCGTTTTTTATGAATTTGAGAGACTCTACGGGAAATGCTTATGACTTTTTTCTTTATTTATGAATAAAGTTGTGGGATTTTAACTCCTCAACGATTACCAAACAGATGTTTGCTCTCCCTAAACATCTGGGATTAGATAACTGCCAATCCTGCAGGTAGGGCAGGGTGTGTGTTTGATGTTGATTTGGGGTGAAGCTGTTTAAATCCTGTCAGGTGGGAATTTCCCTTTCCCCAGCACCTTCCTCATGTTTCCATGCTGTCCTGCAAAGGACAATTCTCYGCTGCCAGGGTGAGGATCAGGCTGGGATTGTTTATTTGTTTGCAGGGAGTGATTCAGACCCACAGTTTCACATTGGCAGCTGTTCAGTCCTGAAGGGAGAAGTGGATAAAGCAGAGACAGAAATCATCACCAGCTCGGAGAGTCGGTCTGCTTTGTCCTATCCTAAGAGAACTGAGCTTCTACTTTCTGGTATTTTGTCCTCTTTRATTCTTTCTGTGATTCTTGAGGATGTTGAGCCACAATCTGAGCTGTTACTTCAGCAAATACCTTTTTTCTTTCCCTGCCACAGAGCTACTAATAACAGCAAAGCATTTCCTCTCTAAACACCTGGCTTTCTTTACCTTTTTTTTCTTATTTTTTACTTTCCTGAAGACACTTTCCCCCAATCACCTATTTGCAGACTCTTCCCCCCTCAGTCTTCTTTAAGCAGAAAAAAAACCAAAATTTACTTCTCAGAGTAAGAGAGAAGCATGTGAGAACTTCCCATTTGGTTTAAGATTCTCAGTACCACAGCTCACACTCTCAGAAGATGAAGTGTAGTGCTTTCCCCAGAGACATTTTGTTTGTGTAAACTCAGTGTTAAGTGTTTCTTGACTTCCCAATGGTTCCTGAAGCCTCAGGCACAGAAACACAACTGCTTTCTGATCACTGCTTTCAGAGCATCATCCTTAAACTACGAACACAGGAACTACGAAGTTAATTGTCAACACCAGAGCAAAATGATGAACAGCACTTTCCCCAGGGTGATCCTGTCCAAGGCCATCCCATAACAAACTCATTTTCCATGGAAGAAAAGCCCAATGGAAGTTCTTAAAGGAGGAGTGTTGGTAATTCCTCCTTTGAAGTTTTGCAGCAAGTAATTCCATTTCCAGCAAAAACCGTGCCTGAGGGGCTTTGTGTTTATCTCCTGCAGATAAATGCTCTTGGAGTGCTGATAAATGAGATGATCCTGGGAATGTTATCTCTTGGACAACAAAAAAGGGATGGGTGGGGAGGGGACACAGAGATATCCTCATGGTAAATTAATTTGTAATTCATACTGTAAATTCACAGAGATATCCTCCTTATAAATTGATTTATAAATTCATTTTGTAAATTCACAGAGATATCCTCCTTGTAAATTGATCTGTAAATTCATATTGTAAATTCACAGAGATATCCTCCTTGTAAATTGATCTATAAATTCATATTGTAAATTCACAGGGATATCCTCCTTGGCAACCAAGTACAAAACAGTAGCTCTGGGGCTTTCTGGGCTTTATCAAACTCCTTCGCCTCTGCAAAGTTTTGTTTAGAGAAAAAAAAAAAAACACTTGTAGAAAAATATGAGGTCTATAATGAAAGCAAATCAACCAAAATTATTATGGAAAATATTATTATGAATACATAGAAACCTATGTTCTGCAGCATTGGGATGCCTGGACCGTGGGCTGCTGTGGGTTTTGACACAAGCAGAGGTTCCTGTTCCTTTTTCAAACTGAGCACTGTGCCTCACCTCACTTTGGCACACTCCACTCACTTCACAAAGTGTTTTATCTTTATCTTTTATTATTCACTCCTCTCTCCTCTAGACAAATGTTTAATTTAGCCAAATGAGAACACAGGATCYCTGACACAGGATTTGCTGGAACTCACCGAGAGGCTCCAAAGCTTTTGGGAAAGCCCTTTCAGACAGAGTGGCTGCAGAAACCTCATTTCCTTGGGAAGAGAGGTATAAATTAATAACTGTGWATTTTCAGAACAGCCAAATCCTGGAACTTTGCAGAACCCCAACAGCAATTTTCTTTAATATCAGTGCCCCTCCAACAGCAGCTTCAGCCATTCCACATCTCATCCTGCTGAGCAYGCAGCCCTAAGGAAAAGGAACATCCCACTTTAACCAGTAAGGAGCTCTTGAGTTTATTCCCTTTAATACTGCTCCTATTTTTGTACCTGAAGTCTGTCATCAGAAACATCTGCTCAGTACCACTCAGCAGTCACTACAGAGATGAAGAGCAGCTACTACACAAAACTTTGTCAGTGAAATTTCTACACAAAATTCCAGTGAAAACTTTGTCAGTGAAATCTCTACACAAAATTCCAAATAAATAACTGTTATGCTGGCAAGAAACACCCTGCACCTAATAATAAAAATAAAAACAACAACAACAACAACAATAATAATAATAATAATAATAATAATAATAATAGGCCCAACTTACTCTCATAAAAGCACACCATGTCCAGAACTAAGCTGTGACATCAAGATCAAAGCCAGAATCTCAAAAGCAGCCATGTGCTTATAATTACTCTGAACTTTAGTTGTTGCTTGTGTTGGTCGTTCTACAATTGCATCATTGGAAAAAGCCAAATATCTGCTTGCATTCTAGAGATAATTGTGGAAAGGACAGAAATGGCAATTTGACAGTCCCTTTGAGATAAACAGTTATAAATAATGGGTTATACACTGCACTTCCAGATAAAAACAGGAGCTGGAGAACACTGTGCAAACTTATTTCAGTTCACTAAAGAGCTGCTACGCTCAAAGAATCCAAATATGTGCAGGCAAAGTGCCCCACAGAGTGAACAGTAATTGAGGTCTTGCTAAGCCTGACAGACACCACAAGCAACTSAAAGAAAACATTAATAGCTGGATGAATATATCAACCACCTCTTTACAAGGGTGATGGAAGCCTTCATTTCCACCCTGTGTGTACTACAATGAAAAACATTTTGCTACATTTGTGCTCATTTCATGTTCATGGCTAGAAATCAATTCAAATTAGTAATGTTTGTCTAACAAATGACTTGTTTTGGCCCTTTCTCATGAGCAAAACAAACCTACAAGAGCAAGGATGTGTGTGATCCCARCTGAGGTGTCCAAATGCCAAAACCTGCGGTGTCTGAAGGTGGAACTGTGCAAAGCAGCTCCGTCAGAAATCCGAGCTGCCACGAGCACAGAGAACCTGGCCTCAGAAATACCAAATACACATGTACATCCTTCAAAACAGATCATTTRGAGAGCAAAAAGCCTTCTCTGGAAATGACAATGGATCTGGGGGCTGATCCTTTGAGGAAATGGCTTTTCCACTGCCTTCAGTGGGATTATTTGTGCMGCAGGTCTGGAGCCTGGAGCTCAAGTATGGATTTCTGACTGATTAAATGGGCAGTTTCAGGTTTTGCTTACACCAAAGACCGTGTGAAAATGTGGGTACTTACACAGCAAAATGATAGATGAAGCACTTCCAGCCGCTGGGTCTCTCCAGGAAGTTGTAGAGCTGTCCCTGGGYGCTGGTTTTGGTCGGAGCCTGGCTCTGGAAGCACTCCATGGTCCGAGCTCTGCTGGCTGAGCCCAGCCTGGGGCTCTGGGCAATCCCAGCTCTGTTATCCACTGAAAKCTCTGCATTTAGGGCCACAGGACAATACTGCATGGTGCTCACCTTCCCCCTGGCTCCCAGCAGAGCTGCACATGTCCCATCTGCACTCAGAGTGCTGAGCTGCACAGCAAAGCTCTGATCCTCGGTGCCATGGTCACACACAGCACAGCCCCGATCCTGTGTGCCATGGTCACACMCAGGAGAATCAGCAGCTCCTGCTCCTCCACGGGACATCCTGCAGCCACAACAGCTCCTGCTGCCTCTGATCAATATTTCAAATCATCAGGGATGGATTGGGTGTCTGCCCTGCCGGGGTTCTCCTGCAGCTGATGAGATCAGAGCTTCTGTGTGACACAAGTGTGAGCTGCCAGCCTGTCACCTGCTGTCACTCACAGCCTCTGAAACCAAACCAGAAAAACACAGGATGGTGACACCTGCTTGAAGRAACAGGAGCTCTAGAAAATAAACAGGTTGGGACTTCTGGAGGAAGGGAAATTCAGTTTCAAAATGGCATTGTTGAGAAGGAAGCCCAGAACCATTTAAAGAGTGC